GTGCACTCACTGGCTGAGCGCGGTGCAGGCGACACCAAGCCAAGGGTTACAATCCCCTTACCAGTCACGAAAAAAAAAAAATTTTTTTTCTTTAAATTTAAAAATAATTTTTTAATGTCCTTCCCCCCCAAAAAAATTGTTTCCAAAAGATTCCGTGCACTCACTGGCTGAGCGTGGTGCAGGCGACACCAAGCCAAGGGTTACGATCCCCTTACCAGTCACGAAAAAAAAAATTTTTTTTCTTTAAATTTAAAAATAATTTTTTAATGTCCTTCCCCCCCAAAAAAATTGTTTCCAAAAGATTCCTGCAAATTAAAGACATTTCCCAACTTGTTGAAGTGCCCTGATGAAGTAAGGACGGTAGTGACCAAGATGCTGAGAAGGCAGTGAGGAAAGCCCATGTGACTTCCTCCCTTGGTTGATCTATTGGAACTCCAGACTCAGGCATCTGTTCCTTCTCCTGAAGGTCACCCAGGGGTAGAAATTTGCATATTCTCAGAAGTCTCTTATTAGCATGGATACTGTCATGTTTAAGCAATGTTATGAGGTAGGCAAAGAAGGTCCTTCCTCTTGCACCCCGCCCTTCCACCACCTTCCCCTGATCCTCCATTCCTGACTGCCTTAGGCGTCCACCCCACTGCCCAGAGGCAGCCCCACAGTGCCCACATCAAGGCCCTCCATGGCCTGGCTCTATCCCATTTGTCAAGCTCTATTGCCACACACAGCCGTTCTTTGTCTTATGATCTAGCCAACTATTTGCTCTAATTTCCTTGCCCTCGAGGAGACAGCCTGCTTAGGACAAAGAGCCTAAGTTTTGGAGTCAGATTCAGTTCAAACTGTGACTTCTCTAGTTCTGTGAATTTGGAAAAGCTATATACCACTTCTTAGCTTTAGCTTCCATACATGTGAAAATAAGGATTAATACTGTTATTGGAATGTTCTAAGAGACAACTAGAAAGTTTAAGTAGGATAACATAAAGCATCCAGAAGTTTGCTTGGCACAGGGTAAGCATTCAAAAAATACCTGCTTTCTTCATCCTTTCTGCCAGGAATGTCCCTCCATCTGTCTCTGCCCATCAAAATCTTAGCACCTCCAAGGCCTAAATCAAATCCCTGATTTTTGGTTTCTGTACTCCTATAGCAAGTATTAAAACTACTCTATTCACACAGATGTTTATAGAAGCTTTTTTCATAACTGCCAAAAGTTGAAAGCAACCAGGATTTTCTTCAGTAGGTAAATGAATAGATAAACTGTGGTACATACAATAAAACATTAGTCAGCATTAAAAATGAAATGAGCTATGAAGCCATAATAAGACATGGAGAAATCTTAAATGCATATCACTACATGAAAGAAGCCAATCTGAAAAGCCTACACACTACATAATTCTAACTATATGAAACTCTGGAAAAAGCAAAACTATGGAGACTGAAAAGATCAGTGGTCGCCAAGGGTTAGGAGAGAGGAGAGAGCTGAATAGGTAAAGCACGGGGGATTTTTAGGGTAGCAAAACTATTCTGTATGATACTGTAATGGTGAACACATATCGTTATACATTTTTCAAAACCCATACAACACCAAGACTCAACCCCAATGTAAAAAAAAAAAAAAACCACTCTGTTGATTTATAATACCACCAATCCATACAAGTCTCGTTTTCCCTATTTAAACTACTCAGCTGTCTCACCTTGGGAAAATTGCATTTACCTTGCTGATTTTCGGTTTATTCATCTGTAAAATGGAAATAGTAAAAATATACGTCTCAGAAAGTTGTTGTGAAGATTGAATGAGATAATGTATGTGAATGATCAGC